GAACACAGATACAATAGAATGCAAGTGTATTATACAGAGCGGAGGCATGGAGACCTCCAATCAGCAGCTGCCACGGTGTGCTTGTAGCTTGGCCTTCAGATAGACAAAACAAGGGAAAAGTACTGGCTTCTGCACATTGATAGAATGATGAGTTTAACTTTAACAAAAGTTGCTTCAAAGTGTTATGAAATCTCACATTCCCCCCTCTGGTCATACATTCACGTGTGACCATCAGGATCGATAAACAGCAACATAACATCATAACTCAATACTTCAAAAACTCATAAACTCGGTACTTCACTCGGTACCTCAAAAAACTCAGAACTCGGAATACTTCAAAAACTCAGAAAACTCATAAAACATTTTCAGATCTTTCATAAAACTTGTCAACAATCTTCAGTAAAATACCAAACTTCATCAGTCGATGGTGGTTCCAGATATTGCTTTGAAAACAGTCTCTCCCACTTCTCTGTTGATTTCTTCAGGCTGCATTTGTGCCGAGCCATGAATTCTTCTGTGACGTGTCTTTCAATCACACGTTTCAGCTTTAGTGTCCAGATTCAGCAATCCAATTCAGTCCAAATGATGTCCAAATTCAGAAATCCAGATTGTTCCAAATGATGTCCAAATTTTGTAATCCAATTGTTCCAAATGATGTCCATGCAAAAGAGGACGATGGTGTTGTCCATGTCTCAGCAGCTCACAGCCTGAGTGGAATCAGGGGCTGTGCAGATTGTCCATGTGCTGATCCAGATGCATTCTCTTGAGGTTTCTCAGTTTTGGCTTTAAAAAAAAAAGTCTTCTGTTCTCTAGATGTTACAGACAAGGCCCGCATTCTTCCACCACCTGAAGAAGATGTGCCAAGTCTGGGATCGTGTCATAAATTCCGACAGAAGACATGTTTTATTGTCGATGGTAGAGACAGCACGAACACGAACACAGATACAATAGAATGCAAGTGTATTATACAGAGCGGAGGCATGGAGACCTCCAATCAGCAGCTGCCACGGTGTGCTTGTAGCTTGGCCTTCAGATAGACAAAACAAGGGAAAAGTACTGGCTTCTGCACATTGATAGAATGATGAGTTTAACTTTAACAAAAGTTGCTTCAAAGTGTTATGAAATCTCACAATATGAGACACAGTTGGAACATGAACAAACTCTGGTCTTTCTCTATTTGTGCGGTTGCTACAAACGTACACCCCACAAAAAGATGCTTCTTCTTCTACTATATCTCCGTGTATAAACCACTTCTTCTTCTACTATATCTCCGTGTATAAACCACTTCTTCTTCTACTATATCTCCGTGTATAAACCGCTTCTTCTTCTACTATATCTCCGTGTATAAACCGCTTCTTCTTCTACTATATCTCTGTGTATAAACCACTTCTTCTTCTACTATGGCCCAGTCCCAATACCCACACTGCACCCTACACACCTCTACGAAGTGTGCATTTGTTCGAAGTGCACACCAGGGTTGGAGTGCGCAGGTTACAAGTGTGCAAAAAAGGCAGAATTGGGACAGTGCACACTGAGTGCAGGTGACGTCATCGACTCGTCAGAGATGGTCATTTTCAGACCTAAACTTTATAAACATTAAAGGTAATTTTGTCTGCCCCTTTGGGAAACAAAATGAATTGCTTCACACACGTTAAAATACATGTATATTAGTTGTTTTTAATTAGAGATAGCTGTATAATTTTAAGTTAAATGTGGGTAACTAACTATCTGGTCAGTTTTTATACATTCTAAGATTATTGTACTAAGTGTAAAGTTTAAATTGAATGTTATATAAACGCTTGTTTTAAAAAGTTATTAAATTGTTAAAACACAATGTCCGTAATTCTTCATCAGACGTTTATGCTTCTTTCCAAGTAACAGCAAAACTTATTTACACACATACTGCATATATATTTCAAAATGTATATTTAAATGCATTTTCCCGACGTTTTGGTGTGTACCGCAAAGAATTATGGGCAATATCCTTCGCCAGAGTGCGCATAGATGCAGGCTACGGCGAAGTGTGGATCAGGGGCGCAAAGGGGGCGGGGCCAAAGACCTCCCTGGAGAATTGGGACGTCCTACGCACTCGCACACTTTATCGGGAACGTGCAAATGAGGGGCGCAAGGGTGGAAGTGCGAGTATTGGGACGGGGCCTATATCTCCGTGTATAAACCGCTTCTTCTTCTACTATATCTCCATGTATAAACCACTTCTTCTTCTACTATATCTCCGTGTATAAACCACTTCTTCTTCTACTATATCTCCGTGTATAAACCACTTCTTCTTCTACTATATCTCCGTGTATAAACCACTTCTTCTTCTACTATATCTCCGTGTATAAACCACTTCTTCTTCTACTATATCTCCGTGTATAAACCACTTCTTCTTCTACTATATCTCCGTGTATAAACCACTTCTTCTTCTACTATATCTCCGTGTATAAACCACTTCTTCTTCTACTATATCTCCGTGTATAAACCCGGCAGACTGCACCTCCAGGACACGTCACGTCCTGTCCTACGTTTGTTACTCACTGCCCTGACGTCAGATGGAACCCAAGAATACAAATAAAACCATACTTACTTAGATCCTAGTTTTCTCTCCGTGCTATCATCCCTGATTAGTTGTTGATGTTTCCAGTTCTACATTAACACAGATACTTAGAGATGTGACTTTAGGTTAAGTAACGACATTATCTTAACCCTAACCTTAACCTCACAGTGATTTCTACAGTGTCTCACTTTTAATCATCAAATCAATCCTCCAGCTCAAGTCAGGACTAGAGCTGGAGCTTTTATGTATTGGAGATGTTTTTAGTGGTTAGGGGAAACCAGAGCGCCTGGAGGACACCTATGCAGACACAGGGAGAACATGCAAACTCCACTCAGGCCTAGCCCCAACCAGGATTCGAAGCCATGACCTTCTTGCGGAGAGGCAATAATTCAAAATCAGCAATTTAAAACACAAAAGAGCATTTAAAAGCCACATAAATGGGGTGAGTCCACTTTGGGGTTAATAATAATAACAATAATGTACTTTTCAGTGTATCTCCTGACACTGAAAGGTGCTGACGCTGCAGTATTCTCTCACTCCGCACATAAACGTGTTGACTCAGGTATTTACTGTGTCTTCAGCAGAATACATTCAGTTTTCCTACACTCTGTAAATCATGTCAGTTTTCTGGTCTGTGCACTGGTTTGAATGTTCCTATAGTCTCTGGTGACTGATGGTGCCAGTCTCTGGTTTGGTCCTAATAGATCCATGGGGTTAGCTCCTGGTACTAGCTCCTGGTATTAGCTCCTGGTATTAGCTCATGGTACTAGCTCCTGGTACGAGCTCCTGGTATTAGCTCCTGGTACTTCTTCTTCTACTATATCTCCGTGTATAAACCACTTCTTCTTCTACTATATCTCTAGCTCCTGGTACGAGCTCCTGGTACGAGCTCCTGGTACTAGCTCCTGGTACTAGCTCCTGGTACTAGCTCCTGGTACGAGCTCCTGGTACTAGCTCCTGGTACTAGCTCCTGGTACTAGCTCCTGGTACTAGCTCCTGGTACTAGCTCCTGGTACTAGCTCCTGGTATTAGCTCCTGGTATTAGCTCCTGGTATTAGCTCATGGTACTAGCTCCTGGTACGAGCTCCTGGTATTAGCTCCTGGTACTTCTTCTTCTACTATATCTCCGTGTATAAACCACTTCTTCGTCTACTATATCTCTAGCTCCTGGTACGAGCTCCTGGTACGAGCTCCTGGTACTAGCTCCTGGTACTAGCTCCTGGTACGAGCTCCTGGTACTAGCTCCTGGTACTAGCTCCTGGTACGAGCTCCTGGTACTAGCTCCTGGTACTAGCTCCTGGTACTAGCTCCTGGTACGAGCTCCTGGTACTAGCTCCTGGTACTAGCTCCTGGTACTAGCTCCTGGTACTAGCTCCTGGTACTAGCTCCTGGTACTAGCTCCTGGTACTAGATCCTGGTATTAGCTCCTGGTATTAGCTCCTGGTACTAGCTCCTGGTCCTAGCTCCTGGTACTAGTTCCTGTATTAGCTCCTGGTACTAGCTCCTGGTACTAGCTCCTGGTATTAGCTCCTGGTATTAGCTCCTGGTACGAGCTCCTGGTACTAGCTCCTGGTACTAGCTCCTGGTATTAGCTCCTAGTACTAGCTCCTGGTACTAGCTCCTGGTACTAGCTCCTGGTACTAGCTCCTGGTACTAGATCCTGGTATTAGCTCCTGGTATTAGCTCCTGGTACTAGCTCCTGGTCCTAGCTCCTGGTACTAGTTCCTGTATTAGCTCCTGGTACTAGCTCCTGGTACTAGCTCCTGGTATTAGCTCCTGGTATTAGCTCCTGGTACGAGCTCCTGGTACTAGCTCCTGGTATTAGCTCCTGGTATTAGCTCCTGGTACTAGCTCCTGGTACTAGCTCCTGGTACTAGCTCCTGGTACTAGCTCCTGGTACTAGATCCTGGTATTAGCTCCTGGTATTAGCTCCTGGTACTAGCTCCTGGTCCTAGCTCCTGGTACTAGTTCCTGTATTAGCTCCTGGTACTAGCTCCTGGTACTAGCTCCTGGTATTAGCTCCTGGTATTAGCTCCTGGTCCTAGCTCCTGGTACGAGCTCTCTGTTCCCTGCTGTGTCCTCCGGTGAGAAAGAGTCTGATCGCAGACTCAGGCCTTCGCCCCTGAGCTCTTTCTCATCCCAACAGTAACATTGGTCCTCTGTGTGTCCCCAGCCTTCGCCCCTGAGCTCTTTCTCATCCCAACAGTAACATTGGTCCTCCGTGTGTCCCCAGCCTTCGCCCCTGAGCTCTTTCTCATCCCAACAGTAACATTGGTCCTCCGTGTGTCCCCAGCCTTCGCACCCATCCCGTTCGGAGGCCTGTACCTGCCCCTGGAGGTGCCCCCCAGCCGCTGCCACTGCTCCCCCCTGGTCCTGGCCTACGATCAGGCTCACTTCTCTGCACTGGTGTCCATGGAGCAGAGAGACCAGCAGCGAGAGCAAG